GCTTTACATAATTGATGTGTGTATGGATTGGGATAACAGTTGTATGAGCCCCTAATAAAATGTTAAAAAAAAAAAAAAAAGAGTACTGCAGGTTCCCAATTCACTGTATTTCAATTCTCCAAAGCCCAAAAGGATCCAAGGACCAAAAGCAAATATAACTTGTTTTTCTGATTAGAAAAGCAAAAAGAAAGAAGAGGAGCTAGAGATGATCACATCACACTAAAAAAGGGCAGTCCGAACACTATTCAGCTATACTCGTCCCCAGGACTACGTGACTGCCACAGCCTTCCCAAAGTATCTTGATAGCGTTCTGTCCCTTCAGTTTGTGAAGTTCCGGCAAGTACAAACGCCATGGGGAAAGTAAAGAAATGAGAAATTAAACCAGCTGAGTCCGCATCATCAGCAAGTTAGCAACAGACCTGCGTCAATCACCAGCGTCTACAACCTCTAAGATTCCCAAGGCATCAGTGCAGCGCGCACTCAAGAGACGAGCCGAAGAACTCGTGAGCGGAGAGACATGCCGAACATATGCCGGAACTGGACAGGCTTGCTCCGAAGGGCAGCGTGGTGAACTGTGAACCAACAGGAGGAGCTGCAACCGGTGAGACCAGTGCAGGGCTACTAACCAACAGACAGCATTTCCCGGCATTCTGATTATTCCGTAACTCTGTTTTAATTCAGTACTAGAGGGTGATAAAGTGGAGTGCAGTCATGGCAGAGGTTTCACGGGATCCAGGATTTGCAAGAACATGAATAAAAAGGTCACTTACTTGGCTTGGCGTGAGCAACCACCACCAGGCTTTCCGGCGAGTGCGCTTTGGGGTACCTGCCGCTTTCTCCTGGCCCTTCGTTATTGCCGTATTCTACGACTTCGACGTGTCCCAGGGGTACACTCCATTTTAATAAATATCTTTGGCTGGTTGCTATTATAGCACTGCTGTCATGTGAGGTGCTGAAACATGCAAAAGTATTGTTATTTGATGACGTAAATATGTTACGATTCTTTTCAGCCCTGAGGATGTTTAAGTGAGAAACATTTTAATTTGCAAAACACTGTGCGTCCGACTTTCCTATGGAATGTTTCCATTTGGTGCTCCAAATTAGCTCATGCGAGAACTGTGATGTGGTATAGTTCCCAGAAAAATTTGTTTTCCATCAGAGTACAAAAGGGATAAGCAGGCTAACTATCTGAACAAAAATTATCAAGCATTCTGAGAATAATATTAAGGTGGAAAACCTCTGCTGTGGATAACAAACAGTCTGATTGTTCTAGATGAGTTAACTCTAAAATACTTTGTTTACCTTCACATGGTAATACGAAGATATTTTAATAAAATTAAATTACTATATTACATAATTAAATATTTTGTTGAACATATATAAATATAAATCATATAGACCCAAGACCAAGGCCCTATATAGTTAACATTCTGCTTTCATCATAAAATACACCATATATGCAGTATTAGGAGACACTGAAAACACACATGCGCCGCCTAAGGATGAGCTACAGAGAAAGCAAACATCTTTTTAACTGCTCCCCGGTCCAGGAAGTGTGACATCACCCGCACCCTGTGTGCTCATGGAAACCCATGCCTCAAGGAACAGTCATTATTCTGACTTCTGGAGATAATCATGTTTTTGCTTTCCTTCAAGTGAGATAAAAATTAAAGAAAACATAGACAAGCTTAATCAAGACGCCCACTGCTGTGTCTTAAAATGAAATGTGTGACTTATTAGGAGCGGGCTCGTACCCAAGTGGTCTAACATCCGTCTGACATCACGGCGCGTCACTGTCCTCCAGGCCACATGGCACGGGAGAAGGAGGGAGCAGAGTCAGACCCTGGAGAAAACAGGGCACGGACTCCATGAATTAAGTGTGCCTTCATGTTTTCTTCTTTCTTTCAGTGGACAAGTCCATGAGTTCTGATCAAAACCTCTATTCCTCTTGGTTGAATCTTTAGCAATCTTAAAAAGTGATTTGGGACTCTTCATGGCCTCAGAGGCTAAAATAGGAATCTTTAGGGAGCAAATTTAACATTTTAGTCTAACACAAAATACTCTTATGCCATCACCTTACATGACTCACTTCACCAGCTTAAGGCAATACCCCTGAAACTGTCATGCTGATGCTACATGAATGGGAAATGAATTTTTCCTCATTATTGCACTTGTTAGAGCAATTACAACCTAGGATCCACTTTAGAGGGATAACAGCAACCCCGCCCATTGCCAGGGCATCCATTTGGACGTACAGGGACCGGCTGGACAGGGTAGAACCGGCCCTGTAGACTTCTGAGCGAGTAACTAAGCAGCAGAACGCCTCTCTTCGGCACAGCAGCTGCTGGTTTCGCTCACTGACCTCCAGGTCAACAGCCCATGAACGTACAACGGCGATGCCCCCAGGCTGGTGGGGGTCTAAACTCTAACCTTTCTTAGCAGCCAGGTGCTCAACCACTGGGCCACCAGGGCTCTTTTAAAGAATCAACTCTTATTCTTTCTGTTAATTGGAAGAATAAGTAAAATTACAAAACTCCCACAGTTATCTACCCTACTAAACAGACCTACTGCCATCAAGTTAATTTGAACTCATAGCAATTCTAAATAAGGTTTCTAAGGTTGTAAACCTTTATAGGAGCAGCCAGCCTTATCTTTTATACCACAGAGTAGCTGGTGGGTTTTGAACCTTCAACCTTGTGGTTAATAACCCAACACTTAAAACAGATACGAGCCCAGTTCCTCTTAAAGCTCACGTTGATGCTGAGGCAGTGTCGTTACCAATAGTCTCTGAGACATGATGATTAAGAATAAGAACAAAATCTTAAAATAAACACCAGTAGTTTGTAAAAAATTTTATTTATAAAATAATCTCACATAAGCTTGTTTTTCATCCCTGCACAAGCATTCCCTGAGGCCAGAGAGCAAGCATTATTATTCCCCAATTGCAAACAGGACAACCGAGACTCCCTCACTCAGCATTGCCCTCCAATCAGCTGAGTGGGAATTAACAGATGTTGTGTGAACCGGGGGAGGTTTTCTGGGCAAATAAACCTTGAAACCATCCTGCTAATTTAAGTTTAATTCGTTTTTGTTTTTTTAAGAAACGTTATATTGGAAAACCAGAAGTAGAAACGTCATGTCATATACTTGATATTTATTGTTCTAAAAAGCCTCTCTAAACTAGTCTAAAGCAGTTTGAATTAGGTAAATCCTAGTTAGATCCTTTCACAGCATTATGAAGTCAGTCCACCATCCACAAAGCAGGAGCACGTGGGACTCTCTTCTACTCCAGTGTTTCCCAAAGTGGGGGATACGCAACCCAGAGGGGCTGCAAAAGCAGAGACTTATACTTTATCCCGGATTATGGACTATAGTACAAAAGTTTTAAAGTAAGTTTTGGTTTTGTTTGTTTTTTTCCTGAAAAGAATGTGGGAGGCCAAATCCATTTTGGATTCTATGCTCCACAGAGAAAAATCTCGAGTTATGGATTCAGACTGTGCAAGGCCAATGTTCAGGGGCCAATGTTCAGCAAAGATAGAGACAGAGACACTGATAAGGGTCAAATAAAACAAGAGAAATTAGAATTTCTATCTTTTTGGACATTTTATAACTAGCACAATAGAAGTGGGAATAAAATAAAATAATAACTAATAATTATAGGTAGTGCTATGTGCCTGGCACTATACTAACAGTTTTAGTGAGCTTTCTCACCTTAATCTTTAAAACAACGAGGCCATTATCATCATTATTGGGACTATTATCATCCCTATTTGACAGATGAGGAGTCTGAAGCTTAGGAATCTTGAGTAATTTTTCAAAGTTATGAGAAGGTAGAGGGTCCACACAGCTCTAAGAAGTTTGCCGCCACAGTGAGACCTCTTAAACATTAATCTATACTATTTCTCTGACTCAGACTCTAAAGAGGGGAGATGGGGCACACATATTTGCTAGTTAGTAGATGAAGATGATGCTGTTATCAGTAACTTCTAGTTGATTCTGACTTAAAGTGACCCCACAAGGCGGCATACCACTGCCCCATAGAGTCCCCTTAATCACAGGCCTACAGTGTTAGTTTTCAGAGACCAAACCAGTTCAGCTAGAATGAGCAAATTCATGGTTACTAATTTATTCTTTAGATATACATACATCTAATAGCATAACTATAAAGCTAATACAGTAAATGAAATACATACTTACCGTGCACTTACTGTAGCACACATTAATACATCATTTAACATGAAGATCCGACGTTCTTTGGTTTTAATAATTTCTCCTCTGTCATTGTAAACAGTTTCTATCATATCATCAGATCGAATGAGGTATCTATTTCCACTGCTGAGAAGCTAAATATTCAAAATGACATTTGACAAAGTTACCACAATGGATTTTACCAAGAAAAAGATGTTGCAAAATACATGCGTTTTCATTGCTAACATATGATAGTTCTTTTCGTTAAAGATAACCCACATATTCCCACTCCCTATTATAGTATCACTCACTTTATGCAGGTACATATAGAGAAGTTCGGAAGTTGACTTCATTTTGCTAAATGGTTTCTAAAAATCAATGTTTGCAGTTACACTGAACAGTGAGTAGAATCCAACTGGAGCCCTGCTGGCATAGTGGTTCTGAACTGGGCTGTGGTCTGCGTGATCTGCAAAGGCAGCAGTTTGAAGCTTCTCGGGATAAGACAGGGCTTTCTGTTTCCCTAAAGAGTCAAAGACCTGAAAACTCCCCGGGCACTTCTACTCTGGTTTTATAGGCTAGCTGTGAATCGGCACCAACTCAGTGGCAGTGAGTTTGGTTTGGGGGTTTGGTCTTTGTGGAAACCATTAATATAGTAAAAAAATTAAATAAAGAAGAGCTTTCGTTACCATGTAACATATTCCCCCACTGCCATCTAGTTGATGCTAACTCCCAGCTATCCATAAATGTGGGATATATATGGAGATCTTGGGGGGAACCGACAGCGTCACCTGCCTAGTGGGTTTGAACTGCAGTTAGCAGTCCAGTGCTCACCCAACGGCCACCAGGCATGACATCTCCTCAGTATTTCCTCTGAAGCTGCTTTGTTCACTACAGATTTTCATTTCAGTTAATCATTCTGTTATTTAGAACAGAATGCATCCATTAGAAACCATTATTTTACAATTAAATAATTTCACCATTATTTTGTTGTTACCTCTTCCCACAGGGTAACATAATTAAGATTTTAACATTTTACTCTATGTCATATTTTATTTCAATGGGCCAAAATAAAACAACACTATTTCTTTGGAAAGATGCTTTGCATTAATTAATAAATGAAAAAACCATAGAGAAGACATAACTTATTATACAAAGTAGCCCAAATGAAAATTTAGCATGCATAACCTTGTGACTTCTAAGGGCTTCTGGTCTTAAATCTATATACTGTCCAGCACTAAGCTATCAATGTAGATGCAAACCCCACAGGATATGCTCACAGGAAAAGTGAAAGTTTCTGCCCAAGTACTGATGTACTATTAATTATGCGTCCCCACTCTTTATACACCTCACAGTGCCTACTCTGTACACACAGAATGTCAAATACTACTATCTACCACTGCTCACATACACTAAGATCTTCCCATGGGTCAAGCAAAGCCTGAAGCAAATATGGTAAAGGGTAATGGGACATGGATTATAAATATTGGAAGATGATTTTGTAAATATAAAGCTGCAAGAGAGCCTTGCAAATGAACTATATTCATACACTACACATCTTTTTTTCATAATAAACAGTTTTCCCCATGCATACATTGTACAAATAAAACTATAATTATTTTGAACGTGTATTATCATTATCTAAAATGAATTATTGTTCATTGAAAGTAAAATTAAGTTGAGAGACTTCTTCATCTTCATGAGGGCCTAGAGCCGCGGTTCTCAACCTGTGGGTCACGACTTCTTCACAGGGTTGACTAAGACCATGGGAAAACCCCCATTTCCAAGGGTCTGAGGAACAGAGACACGCTCCTCTATCGTCTCCAGGCGGGCCGCCCACATGCAGGTACACCCGTGCTACACCATGCTTCAAGACAATTCCATTTCTTTTTAATTAGAAATAAATATTTCACACTATATAATTGCTTATTGTTTTTGCAATTAATCACTATGCTTTAGTTATGTTCAATTTGTAACAATGAAAATACATCCTGCATGTCAGATATTTATATTATGATTCATAACAGTAGCAAAATTATAGTTATGAAGTAGCAACGAAAATAATTTTATGGTTGGGGGTCACCACAACACAAGGAACTGCACCGAATGGGCGCAGTACCAGGAAGTCTGAGAACCACTGTCCTAGATGCACTTGAGAATCGAATACCCAAGCAGACAGAGAATTAAAGCCTTGCATGCAACTGTCAGGCGCCTATGCCCCACCTAAGGGTTCCATTAACCTCGATGAAGAACTCTGGGCTATAAGAATTATTGACATCTCCCCCCTCCCAAAAAATTAGTGATAAATGGCTGAAATAGTAATGGTGGTTTAATATAAAACAATCAATTCAGCATAGAGTTAAAAATGTTTCTCAACCTTGTTTAAGTATCTTTCATTTATGGCTTTTGCTATTTGTTTGATTTCACAGCGTTGGTCCGCATCTCTTTTCCTTTCATTTAATTTCTCGGCTAATGTTTCAAGCTCAGTAAGCGCCATCTGAAGAGGAAGCCGGTCAGGATGTCCTTTGGATGTATTCTTCAACATATCCTTTGAGAAATGAGGCAAAATGGTAGATTTGTGATTTCTGATGTAGAAGGAAGTAGGCAGTTATCACATGCAAACTTCTAATCTCCAACAATTACATCATTCAAAAATAGACACATGGAAAGATGGCAGGGATACCAGATACTTCTAGTGAAAAATAAATTAGGCACATTGGAAAGGACACTAAGCTGTATGAATCACAATTTGGCTGAACATGTGAATAGCTCTTTTTGCAAAAACAAAATTGACTTACTAAATGGCACTGTTAACAGAGAAAATATTAGCATTTTGTAATAAAGCACATTATAAGTACTAAAATACCCCAATCTTAGAAACTGTTTTCTCTTTGTAACTATGTTGAAGATAACAATTTTTTTTCCTTGATTTGAGTTGGACCAATGCATTTGAACTGTGTTGGTGGAGAAGAATACTCAAAGTACCATGGACTGCCAAAAGAACAAACAGAAGCACAGCCAGAATGCTATTTAGAAGCAAGGACGGCAAGGCTTCATCTCATGTACTTGAACAGCTTGTCAGGAGAGACCAGTCCCTGAGAAAGGCATCATGCTTGGTAGAGCAGGGAGGCAGAGAAGAAGAGGAAGACCCTGGATGAGATGGATTGACTCGGAGGCTGAAACAATGAGCTCCACAATGGCGATCCCTGTGAGGGTGGCGTTTTGTCCTGTTGTACACGGGGTTGCTGTGGGTCAGAACTGGCTGGACAGCACCTGACAACAACAGGACCCGTGCATGGGTGGGTCTAGCTAGCTTTTAATTTATGGTTTTTGGGGGAAGATACAAGAGCAAAATAAGGATCAGCCCCCCAGCCTCTGCATGGCATTGGTTACATTCTTTGAGTGGTGCACCTTTGTTGATACCTTTTCCCAAACTGTTTCGTCATCACTGCCAACTGGCTGCTCTCTAAACTTCTCCCAGCTTTTTCAGAGACCAGCTTCCAAATGAAAATGTGTAGCCTTTGTTTCTTTACCAGAGTTTTGACTACATGGTAGGATCACCCTTTCATAATGGCTCGCTTGAGTGCCTCGCCCTCTGACACATACACACACACCACACACACACACACACACACACCTATACTGAAAAAAAAAAAAGGAACTTGAGGCCATTCTGTGATGGACACAGAGTTTTCTGCGTCACTAATGCATATGTACATATAAGCAAAATGAGGTTGTAAGGAGGTTATATAGTACAGAGTGATACAATCACAAATAAAAGATTAACTAAAATGTTAGATATGAAAAACCTTACAAAATATATAGAGATATACATACATAATTATACATCTTGATTTTTATACCGGGCCTTCTATTGTTCAACATGCTTTCACAGATACTGTTTTTTTGAAAGAGGAAATCTATTGAGTTGAATGCATCTTCTTCAGAACGAAATGGAGCTCCTTATTTAGCTCTGTTGAATTGATGTGAGTTAAGCAGCAATGGAATTTCACAATGCCTCCAACTTTACGTAATTTTTTTTATACCCTGGTAAAAACACTGCCTAGATGGTTAAATGCTTCCAGATGAATGGGTAACACACACTGCTCTGTCTGTATGGGTTTCCCTATGAATCATGTCAAGTTGTATTAAAAAAGGAAGGAATAAAACTAGAAACGAATTCTGGTACTACCACTATATACTGCTAGTGTACAGAACAGAATTAGCCCACCAGTTACAGAAAAAACATCACACATAGGCAAAGCTGAGCAGCTAAACACAGTTTCCATGGCGAAGTGCCCCCCACACTCGCCACCAGCATTCTGCATGGGCTCAGCTGCCCCATGAGCAAGGCCATACCGGAGAAGATGAAGTTCAACTTATTTATTTGCTACCCTGAATTATCACTTTCTTTTTGTACCACACAGCAGAGAAAAAGGTCTGTTGAATGATAGGTGGAATGCTGGGAAGCACCCCCAGGTCACCTAGCAGTTGATTGTCTCTGACAGAAAAGCCAGACGTGATTCCGTCAGCTTAATCTCCAGTTCTGCAGAGCTGCAGTGTCATAGCAACTGCCAAGTGGAGAGGTCAGATAAGAGCTAACTTCGATAAGGGCATGTTAAGACCACAGAACTAGAGTAAGAACTAGCAGTGAGTAAGATTGCTGGATTAATATGCACAAAAACAAGACAGAGCAAAACAAAGCAACAACAGAAAACAAAACAACAACAGCAAAACCAATGACAAAAAAATAAAACAACCTGTAAATAGTTAAAGGTCTGTGTGTTGGCCTTTAGGAGTGTTTCCTGGAGGAGTCTGATGGGGTGTCACGCACGCCCTGGCCCCAAAGTATATTTTTGGTAATCCCTTGGGACTTCCTTGCTCTGTTCCCCTTGCTGTTCTGTTCGACGCCCTTGGTGTTTTGCTTCGGTGTGGTGGGGTCAGATCAGGAGCAATTCCCACACTGTGTCTCCAGTGTTGTCCCCTAGCTGAGAAGCAACAAAACCCACATGGAAAAGCACACCAGCCTGTGTGATCACGAGGTATCGATGGGATGGGGTATCAGGAATCAAAGAACAAAAATTCAAATCACTGTGAATGAGGCGGAGTGCAGAGAGGGAACCCAAAGCCCATCTGAAGGTCAACTGGGCATCCCCTTACAGAAGGGTCGCGTGGGAGACAAGCCAGTCAGGGTGCAGTGTAGTAACGATGAAACATACAACTTTCCTCTAGTTCTTAAATGCTTCCTCCCCCACCCACGTGCATGACTCCAATTCTACCTTACAAACCTGGCTAGACCAGAGGATGTACACTGGTTCAGATAGGAACTGGAAACACAGGGAATCCAGGACATATGATCCCTTCAGGACCAGTAGTGAGTGGAAATACTGGGAGGGTGGAGGAAGGGTGGGGTAGAAAGGGGGAACCGATCACAAGAATCTACATATTACTTCCTCCCTGGGGGATGGACAACAGAAAAGTGGGTAAAGGGAGACGTCGGACAGTATAAGATATGACAAAATAATAATAATTTATAAATTATTAAGGGTTCATGAGGGAGAGGGAAGTGGGGAGGGAGAGGGAAAAAATGAGGAGCTGATTCCAAGAGCCCAAGTGGAAAGCAATTGTTTTGAGAATAATGGGGGCAAAAAATATAAAAATGTACTTGACACAATGGATGGATGGATGGATGGATTGTGATAAGAGTTGAATGAGCCCCCAATAAAATGATTGGAAAAAAAAGATTGCTGGATTATTCAAAGGCTACCACACCACCATCATCACCGCCAGCAAATCGATTCCAACTCACAGCAGTCCTCGGGACAGAATCAAATGTCATGGTGGGTTTCTGAAGGTGACAATGTTGGGTCGAGCAGAAAGACTCAGGTTTCCCCCAAGGGGCAGTTGGTGGATTCACACTGCTGACCTTCCAGCCCAACTTGTAACCCAGCTCAGAACCACTGGATACATTCAAGAAGACGTGGCTAAAAGAAACTAGACTTCCACAGTAGCTCCATTGTGTCCATACCCAGTGGGGGTAATTGAACAGAACGCAGGAGAGAGTGATTGGCAATTCTCTTCCCTTAATAAGTCAAGTGCCTCTTTAACGTCATCATCCAGCAACTGACTCGGGGGCCACATCCACATGTGCACCTCGCACTGAGTAACTACACTTGTCTCACTTCAACAGTGCTGTTACTAACGTGGACCCAGCTTTTCTAATGTCCATGAGCAATTAAGTAATTACATATGGCAAGGGGCAAAAATGGACAGGAGAGAAAACGCTTCCCATAAATCTGGGGCCAGCAATTTCATTCTGGGATACATCCTTAGATTACACTGAAGAATGTGATCTGCTTAAGACGTGAGTGAGTCATCTGTGGAAAATTCAAAGAGAAGTCTTAAAATGCCATGAGTGGGGAAGAGGAGGGAAAAAAGGAAGAAAAAACTTCTGTATAAATCCACCAAAATAAATCTATGAGCAGTCATTTGGAAGAACTTCCTAGAGCATGTTAAGCAGAAGTGCTTTAAAGTCACAATTTTTTGAGTGTATTATACCTAGAATTCAGAGTCTGTGAACTTTAACCTATTCCCCCTCCGTGAATGTGTTTAGAGGAAAGTAGAAAAAAGATAAGAGTGAATTTCTTACAAGAGCCCATTTTTAAACATTTGAATCACACAGGGTAATTTAAGTCCTCCACAGTTGGCTTGTACACTGCTTCCCCCACCGATACGCCCACCTAGGGGCTGGATTGGAAGCCAGACAACCACCTTAGAACTTCAGCACTTCCACTGAGCCGGTGCGTGGCCTTGGTCAAATCATTTAACGTATATAAGCCTCAGTTTACAATTCCTCAAAAGGAAATGGTCACCTCTTTTCCAGAGACATCTGAAGAGAATAAGTGAACCAAAAAGAGAGGCACACTTTTGAAAGAGCTCCACAAGGGCTAAGTGAGGACATGCGACCTTGACCTTGCTCACTGGCTAACTATCTGAGGGGCGATAACTATCTGCTGCTTTTGCTTTCTATGGCTTGGTTTCCCCACCATTTCTGTATGTATATATGTATCTATGTAGATAGACAGAGATATATATTCAAATATATATACTTATTTGAAAAATACCCTGGCAAAATAATTGCTGTTATTTTCTTCACATTTAACCCAAAGCTAGGAAACTAGATTAAAAAAATAAACCTACATTTAATAAGGTAAAAAAAAAATTTTTTTAAGAAACTACTCTGATAAATCATAAAAGCCCAACAATTTTCCCGTTCCTCCTCAGAGCAGAATGAACACACCTAACAATGCATCACTGTACAGCAGCATGACTCGTGGGGACAAGGCATTACATAGGTGTCTGAGGTCCCCAGGCTGCAAAGCTCTCACAGCACTGATGTTGGGCTCACTGTGCACACTTATGACAAGTGTAATTAAAGAATTAACTAATTAGCTGTTTGATAACTCTCTTCTTCACCACAAGAAAATAAATGAAAACGAAACTGGTTGCTGTTGAGTGGATTCCGACGAATGGCGCCCCCAGGTGGTTCACAGTACCCTCCCCTCCATATGGTGTTCATGGCTGTTGTGACCTTGGGGAAGCGGATGGCCTGACCTCTCTCTCTATTGCTTCGGTCAGTGGCCCAGCACTTAACCATTTCACAACTCAGAAGAAACTTTTCATATAAGAAACTGTATCTTTCATGTTTATTGCTATCGCCCTACAGTGCCCTGCACATCTGGAGAGTTCAGTAAATTTTGTCAATGTAAGGACTAAATTTTAAAGCATAGTTTCCTGGCTACTTAGATTCTAGGGAAAAAATAATTCTTGTTAATAATACTCTAAAATAGGTTAACTGTACATATATTTGAACATATTTTTAAAGGGAGAAAATGAAATCACCATAAAGCCTAACTGCAGAAATAGCCAATATCAATATTTTAGTGTATAACCATCTATTTTCAGATGGTTATGGTTCTTATGTAAAAAGCAGATGTCTGTCTCAGATTTGGTCAGGTATTTAAAAGAAATCAAAGGGAGGTTAGCAATATTTCACAACTGACAGCTGCTTATTTCTAGGGGCAATTTCACTAATTCCTCTTTAATCAAGTCAAGCAAAGCCCCTTTCATTTACTTAGGGAAAAAAATCAAGCTGAAGGGCTCCAAAGGGAGCCATCGTTCAGCAAGGGACAGAGGCCCAAACCAGAGTGGTCTCCTTTAAACTGTAATTTTCACCTGTATGCCATTTAAACACAGCACGAGCTGAACCGGAGGTGCCCCCTGTGTTGCACTCTGACACACAGGGGGTCGCCGTGTGTTGGAATTGCCTCAATGGCAGTTGGGCAAGTGCCCAATCAATGCACCTGACAGAACGTCTCGGAGCTCAAAGGCAGAGTTAAAAGTCGTGGTCCATGCTCACTTAGAATGCACCAAACACAGGGCAGCGGTTCTCCAAGAAGGGAATACTTATGTCTCATCGAACATTTCAGGTTACTTTTACTGTTTAGAGCAACAAATATGTCTACTCTTAATTTTAACAAGGAGGCTCTTGTTCACCTTGTTATCCCTGATTCTTAGGTCAGTGTTCCCTCTGGGCACAAAGAAGTGGATCATCCCCCCCACATTCTTCTAGACCAGCACACTCGTCCATCAAGGGAGGGCACCAATATCCCACAGCTCATGTACGCCTCCTACATTGCTGGGTCACAAAGGTGCCCGTGCCGCTGTGACACAGTGCATGGGAGGGCTGCCTGAGGGGACAAGAGCATCAAGGACACACGTGACAGCTTTCCTGTCCAGTTCCGTTCCCTCCCAAGGTCAGGCCTCCTGGGACTAAGGAGGCCCAAGAGCTCCCTTAGGCTGGGGCTCCCAGCAGACTGAGTCCTTCCAGCTATGACCTTAAGTGACCTGACCAGGGAAGAATTGAAGCATGGGGAGGGGAAGCTACTGTCTACACGTTCAGTTACACTTGAAAATGTGAAAACAAAACACGATGTTATAGCTCTAACTAAATTCAAGATACACAATGCCACTTACCTGGAGTAGAAGAATGAACTGTGGAAATCTCTGGATTGGTTTCATCATCAAGCTAGAGAGTGTGATTCGGTCCGGACTTGATTCCTGGCACTGCTGCAAGGAGAAAGTTCACCGGTTGGCTCACAGCCAGGAGAGCAGTGTCCTCCCCAAGCTTTAAGGAGGCCAACTCAACACAGCACATGACAGTTCTCAGAAGAACGAAACGGGGAGGAAGAACCCACAACCTTGCCATGTTCACTAAAGCTTGGGGTTTTTACTCATTGAAGAAATGTCATCAAAATGTGTTTTAACATATTTTCTACACCTCTTGTGGGTGAGAATTCTCTACCGTAGCTATTGATCATGGTGTGGCAGGACAATACTTCTGGGCAAGAAATACTTAGCCTGAGGGAGGTGGCACTGGATGTGGTACTGCTGGTGGAGTTTGCCCCCAGGAGAGGGACGCAGACCCTTCTAGTGTTTGTTTTTGTTCATGTCAGTCACCATGGAGTTGACAAGCTGACTCAGGGCAACCTCACAAGTACACTGTGCTCCACAGGGACTTCAGTGGCTGAACTGATTTTGATTTTTTTAGAATTCCACCTCCAGGCCTTTCTTCCGAGGAGCCTGTGGGTGGCATGGACACCCCACCTTTCTGTTAGTGGTGAGCATGTTAGCTATGTGAACCTAGACTTTTCTTCTGAACACTGGGCACTCCATGAAGCACAGTTCTTTTCTGAAACACAGGGACTTGCCACTTGTTGCCCAGGGCAACTGGTCCTTTGCTAGGGTTGAAGCAACCCCCAATGCCTAAGGTCTGTCATCTTGCAGGCTGGCAACCAGAGCAATTCTTTCACCCCCCTAACAGAGCACCTTAAACCATGTTGGGCTATGCCTGAAGCAAAGACCCGTGGGCCATGTCCTGAGCTTGCACTACGGCTGCTGGGCTGTGCAGAAGAAAGAGCGCAGGCCAAAGCTTGCCCTGGTGACTCGGTACCAGCTGTATGAACTGGGTGAGTAATTTAACCTTTCTCTGCAGCTACATTTCTGCTAACGATAACCAGGGGTTAGAAACATCTAGCTTCCAGTGTTGTTGGAAGTGTGACAGGAGAAGGTGGCAGTTGGGGGATGGGGTGTCAGAACAGGGAGAGAGGCTCCTGGTAGGATATTTGTCACTGGGCATTGCTGTCACTACCCAGGTTGGAATCTTCCTTATCAGCAGTGTCAAAAAAAGACAATAATGAAGTCATCAGGAGAAATAAAATTTTAATCCGATCTATGTCCCTGCCCCCTGCCCCCCCCCCACATACCCCACACAGAGAGAAAGAAATGCTGTCAGGTAAAAAGTACACAGGGTACCACAACCCTTCAAAGGGGGGAACCGATTCAGTCACTCAGCAAAGCTTCATCACTGGCTGCCTACCATGTTCTCGTCATAGCAGGAATCTGCACTACCAAATAATACAGAAGGAGAAACAAGCCTGTGGCTGCAATGAAACACTGCTGTTGGCAAGAGCACTTAGCCAGCGCTCACACACCCCAGGTAACAGAGGTTTCGAACAATACAGTTCTTGTAACAAGAACAGGTTTTGTTCCAAGGTTTTATAATGCAAATTGAAGCCTCATACAGATGAGACTCTACTGGGGATGGCTCTAGCTTTGCAAAGAGGAATTTTAGTTTGGTTCCAGTGCGCAGCACTCTCCTGCCATATTTACGTCACAGGATGTGATATCCATCTATGCCCTGGGAAAAGCACTGCCAGCTGATTAAACACTGTATGTCAAGATTCATTCGGATTTTTTTAAAGGAAGTTGGGGTGGGGGTAAACACATTCATAACTTCAAAGTCACTCTTAGAGGAAGGTTATCAGTTCTCTCCACTTAACATCAGAGGAACACAAAAGCAAACGTCCTTAGGGGAGCATGGATTTCCAGGCTCTTGCTTACCACTCTGACATCAAAGAGGCCCCCTGTCCAACCCAGAACCTCAATGGTATGTTCCTGTTATTCTGCACACCAACCCAAAGACAGGAAGAAAAGGGTCACTTTCTTTGGGCCTCTGATCCTAGCTGTCCGCCTATCACTACATCTATCCAGCCAGAACTCAGTTGGCTGCACCCAAAAGTTATTTTCCAAAAGCTATGCAAACTGCATCTGTCCTCATTTCCAGGACTAATCCAGTACCTAGTGTCTGTTGGCACAGAACGTTTCATAATCGATGACCTTAAACATTCAGAGGCAGAGGCTGGTGAAGGTTCCTTATGAGTCATTTGAGGGGGACCTGCCATCAGAGGATGAAGAACACAGGAAGGGAAGAACAGTGGGCTTACCTTCAGGAATTCGAGAAAAGCGGGCTTTGAAGCACACGATTTCTTTAAGATTGCCACAGCGGTGCTAAAGTTATTTACAAATTCACTGTAAGCGTCCAGTACCATGGATTTAGAAAACTGAAATATAGGTGGGAATTGAGACATATTAATATTATATAGCGTCCACGTGCTCCCTTTTCCTATTTAAAATCAAAAGAAACCACTTGATTCCTGCTCTAGGAATAAACTTTAAATCTTTCTGGTGTTGTCAGGGGATAAACTTTATTTTGAAACATGCATGACTTTTTTCCTTTAAGCAAGCTTGTTTAAATGGCTTCTTGACACTCAGTTTGCTGATCCCAATGCATTCTTGGAGTTCCTGGGTGATGAAAACAGTTAACATGCTCAGCTGCTAACTGAAAGGTTGAAGGTTTGAGCCCACCTAGAGGTGCCAGAGAAGAAAAGTCTGGCAATCTATTGTGAAAGCCACAGTTCTACTCTGCCCACTACAGAGTCACTGGGAGTTGGGAGTCCATTCGATGCTAACTAGTATGATGCACTTTCAGGCTTCAATGTTCAAAACCAGGCCAGCATGGGCTTCAGTTCAAAGCTTCCCACCCAACAAGATGACTTAAAAAGAGGTTTAGAGATGTTTTTCTTTAAATTTCTACCAGTCCTAACTTGGTGGGCCCTACTGCAAGGCAGCCACACTATATTGGCAAACACGTCTTAACCTTTTTCTGGAAATGTACCAGGAGAGAGAGCACTGATCCCTACACATTGGAAGTGGCAGAAAAATGTGTCCTTGGTTATCAGCAATCAAAGAAAGGAAAGTGATTCCATTCTATGCTTGTAATATTCCACACAGCCTCTGGGCCAGGTGGCAGGAGCTGATGTGCCTGTGGAGGGCTGATGTGGCTGTCAGAGAGGAAGGGCTTCCATCTCAATCACTGGTGGTTTTAAAATGTCTTTAATTTTAAAAAAACCAAAAAACTTCGCAAAGGAAACATTTTTAGAAGAGAGATACAGTGAATGTTGAAACTGAAATAGAAAGTAGCAGAAACAACAAAATGTATCATCTTTAAATAGTCAATTATTTCTGTTTTTTTAAAATATATATATATCTAAAGATCCATGAAAGGCATATAGAGAAAAGTGCAATTATTTTAGTCATTAACTTTGTCTCCAGGTGACTTTCAAAGCATCCTGCAATTGATACACAGCATCAGGCACACACAGAAATTATATATAAAAAGGGTTCCCAATTATCCTCACAGCATTCAATTAACTTAAAACAAATAAACAACTCCTAAGCATATAGCTCTGGAAAAGCATCACTATCTTAAAACAGTTATAGAGTCCAGCTGTTACATCTTTAATTTTCTACATCTACATAAAAAATCTAACCAATAGACAAATCACAAGTTGACTCCATGCTGCCTGATGCAGACTCTGGTTGCTGATATTTCCCAGGAAGCTAACCACTTCCTCTGCCAAGAAATGTTAATACAACCATTCATTGGGCATTGTGCTGCATCAGCTTGCATTCCATTATATCCTGTGTCACAGTTTAGGGCTGAAAGGATGTATTTTCACAACTAGATCAGAAAGTACGAACTTGAGAATAACATCTAGAGTTTTTCCCCAGAACACATTTCAAAGGTTACTGGGCGTGGAGAAGTGTGTACACAGCAAGTGTACTGTCTATAAGACAGGCAGCCTAATGCGAGAAAGCTTAAATATAAAAATTCTACAATATCATCTACAGCCCTAGTTCTAAAGGAAAAACTCATTATTAACCTTTATAATCATGTATCCAAAACTGAGGAAACATCTGTTTTAAAGCATTTTAAACGTATCTGTGCTCATTGGTGTCTGGATATTTATCTTGATCTCCTTGGAAAATATCCCTTTGAGTCTGAAATAAGGATCATTTTTTGAAATAATGTACATTCTTGAACCACAGGAGTTTGAGCTATCTACTTGTCCCCTTAAGTGTTTTTTATGGAAAGAACGCTGATCTTCTTGTTAGGGCAGAAGACAAACATTTCCACACATCAACTTAGGTAGGCAAAGCCGACTCGAGTGTGTGGAGAACCCCACCGAGGGACTGGTGCCCCACTTAGTTACCGAAGCCACGAAGACATCACCAATCGTTTCCACAGAATCCCACTCAGATACCCGACTGGCCAGTGCGATCTGAAACATGGAATGGCACTGCAGGATCTCTTTAACCCGGTAAAACACCATCTTCAGTTTCCTTTCACTCAGAATCTTTGGCTCCATCTCAGATAGTGGTTTCTCGTATTGCTAGGGCAAGGATAAATGCAAGGTCGTACAGACATATCAAAGGGCAGAAAAAGAATATTTGCATAAAAAGTTTATAGAATTCATTTGCATAACATTTATATTTATTTTAAAAATTATGACTTTGATGTCCAACACATAGATACAATACTAATATTCTATTGATACTTTCGAAGACTTGCATATCTTAATGGTTAAATGCTGACATAATCATATACACTCATATGTAGCAAAATTCCACATGTGTAAAAATGGTCTATTTTATATATTCACATGTAAATATAAATACATATAAAATGTATGGTGACATTTTATTACCTCTAAAATCCTCTTAAGAGCATCTACGTAGTTCTTTTCACTATCAACAACTGAACCCAGGATATATCTTCGGACAACCTGTTGGAAATTTGAAAATAATATTGGAGAAGGCAGTTTCAGAATACATACAGATAAATTTTAGTTCTGTGTTAGCCTTGTTCGTATGGAAGTTATTTCCTTGCCCCACTCCAAATAGAAAGCAAAGGAAAACTCAAAAGTCTTAAAAAAAATAGCCGACTCATAGTGACCCTGTAGGACAGGCTAGAACTGCCCCTGTGAGTTCCCAAGACTCTAATTCTGAAGTAGAAAGCCTTGTCTTTCTCCCGAGGAGCTACTGATGGTTTCCAACTGCTGACCTTGTGGGTTGCAGCTGAACTTGAAACCACTACTCTAAAGGAACTCGGAACCACTACTGTTTAAAGGAACAGGGTTCCTTTAAAAATATTGTAAATGGGGTTAATTAAACGGCCATTCAGGCACAAAACTAGGTCCTTCCCTCACTATGATTATATTAATTTTGAAGCCTCACATTATAAATTATACCTTCAGCAGGGCAAGCAAAATAATAGCATTGAAAAACATGTTCACCTATGTAACAAGCATGTTATTGTTGTCATTGGTGTCTGCTGTCAAGTAGATTCCAGATCCCACAAAGACCAAGTACAATTGTCCCACAGGACTTCCGAGGCTGTAATCCTTACCTGAGCAGATCTCCCGGCCTTCGGGTTAGCAGCTCAGTCCTTAACCCATCGGGCCATCAAGGACTCTTGTGTAACAAGTATAGTATTTTATGGGCTGAAAGCTATGCTAAGTGATATTTCGAGCATAAATTCAGTATACAAAACAGTTCCAGTCTTGCCTCAAAGAATGCTATTAGCAACTCTCATTGCATGTACAGTACTAACAGCTAGAGCGAAACAAGAAGCTTCTAGATGGTGAAGGACTTGCTTTGGTTTTGCAAATATCTGTTGTTGGTCATGCAAAGGTGTGCCTCCCTACATGGTCAAGCATGAAATGGGTAAATTACTAATGGCATTGACAGATACAAAATGTCTCTATAATGGGAGGCAAAGAACATTTATAGAGGTCTAGATAAAGACACGTACATATGCACATATATTTATATGAGGATGGGGAAATAGATCTATGAGCCTATATTTATAGGTTTAGTATTAAGTTAGCAGAAGGACATTGGGCTTCCACTCAAGTATTGCCTCAATGCAAAAATACTTTCTTCTATTAAATTGGCATTCTATGATGCTCACCTTCCCGACACAACCGCTGAAGACAAAG